CACTTCACGCCTGTTTTCTGTGTGGTCGTGGTATTGCACCGGGCGAGCCGGCCCATTCGTGCGAAGATGTTAAAGCGGGCTCTACCACTGATGACTGCTTCTTTTGTAGTTCCATTAACTTTAACAACAGAAGGAAGTTCAAAAGCAAATTACGTGTAACATGTGCACATTGTAATAAAAAATCTGGAAAGGCGAAAATCGCTTGCACAAAACACATTAAAAGTGATAACCCATACAAGATTTCATTACAGGTCTCCGGAGTCGCATAATACGAAATGCAAAGCAATTTAGGCTCTACAGACCGGATTAAAGTGAGAGGAGATGTCTGATATTTCGCTGAATTGTACAAAAGTTTTTGGCGAAGTTCACAGACTGGTGGCGGTTTAACAAAACTGTCAGGAATGGTAACTTTAAATAGGTACCTATGAAACTTGCGTCAGTCGAAATATTGTTGAAAGTTTTAATATAGAAAGCGGGATTTGTGAGTTAAATTATGTACATTTATCTTCATTAGCTCTCAAACTTCGGATGCTTTCTTATCTTAAAGTGACTTTTTGTCCCGTGAATCGTAAAGCTAACTGTCGCCTATGTTTTTTTAAACATTTTCGATATAAACTGTATGATTAGATTATTTTATAAAATTTATGATACTTTTTGACTGTCTTGTCAATTAAATATATACTGGCCTTAATTTTCTAGTTATTTTTTATCAAATTTAGGCACAAACGTGTTAGTGACATGTTAAAAAAAGTTTTTAAAACTCCCTAGTAACACGAGCCGAATACAGATGGTGCTGTATTATTCACGAAGCCTTCCCCCAACCGACGCTAATGCCGATTTCACTCACAACTGAGCGGGAACCAGCAACCCTACGTAGGGGGAACTTGTTCAAGATACAAAAGTACTAATGTGAACAAATTCGTTATGTACTGCACCGTACTCTGTACTTAACCCTTTTAATCTCTATTGACTTGAAAGAATTATGTGTTAAACAAACAAGTTAACAAGCATGAATATAAAGACAAAAATGTTTCGCTGCTTGAAGAAAATACGCCTTTATGTAGACCAAAATAATATGACCTTGCCTTTGAAAAAATATTAACTTCGCATTCTTGTCTCAAACGCTCGTTTCTTTCTTCCATTATTGTTTAAAAAAGGAAATGGATATCATTTCCGTTTTCTTTTTTCATACAGTTGTTTAAGCAGTAAAAACCTATGGTAATAAATTGAAGATGAACTTTTACGGCGAACGTCGGATATATTCAATCTTTTACAGATAAATAAATAAAAATGTAAGGGAAGTTTAGTTGAACATTAGGGGGTCAAAAACCCCGGATCAATATGCGAGTGCATACCGTCCCTGCTTAGGGCACCGCAATGCCTACGTGCAAGGGTCTGCCATGACTCACAAGGGGTGGCTCCCACCCTACCGCGTTTGGTCGATACTGCCCTTTTGTTTTCGCACTCGCGCTCTCTTGTGTACGCGATTTCGGTATACTCTTTAAAAGTCCGACACTCTATACTGAATCGTCTGCGTTGAAGCCACTAAAGTTTTATACAATTGTTAATTAAAAATGTTCATTACAAATACTTTAAAACAATAAACTTGAATGGGCAAATTAAATGTGCAATCTATACTATTATAGTAAAGCACACACACAACACACACTTCTTTGTTGCCTAAGATGTCAGCAATTATAGCATATATTTCTATAATTCTTTTTTTTAATAAATAGCTCTACACTTGCGTCACGCTTTGGGCTATATATTTTAACGCCATTAAACTTAGAGGGTAAATATTTTGGATAAAAACCCTAATGTGGGAAAGAGACCGTAAGTTGCTGCCAACATCAAGGAAGCAAGGTTGTCATCATGTTTTGTCAAAATGACAAATGTAAACAACAAAATAAAATTTTCATAATTTTATGCGCATGAAGTCGCACGGGAACAGTTAGTATCAAATAAAGCCAATTTTATTTACATCATTCATAAGCAATATTTAAATCGATTGTTTTTCTTAGTTCCATATGCTTTTTTTAACTTTAATTGTGTAAAGAAACCAATAAAAAGCAACTTTAAAATATTTCTTTGTACTGAAAATCATGTAGTTATCGTATTTTTTATAGTTGAGGTAACAGAGACCTTGAAAGGTCAGACCACGCAACACAATGGAGGGAAAACGCAGAAATAGATTGTAATCTACCGTTACTCAATAAAAACAACGAAAGCTTAGTTCACGCACCCAATAACTACGCAAAATAAAACTATTTCCTTCATAATAAGCATAATTTTATGAATATACCAAGTATTAGAGAAATTCTACACGCGACATGACTTTATCGCTGCCACAGAAAAAACTGAGATACCTTTTATAAATTTTTAAGGGCGATTGCAATAAAAGTATTAAAAATAAACTTTTATAATCTTAAATCAAGCTTCATGAAAAAGATACAGTTTTAAAAAAACTAAAAACGTGTATCATCGGATCATATTACCAAGAGGCGTACAGCCAGTTACGGGGTGTAATGTAACATGTTACACGAGCATTAATGCAATCAGTACGTAGTGTTGCTGAGAAACATGCGAGCAAGAAGCTGGAAGCTTGTTACACCTCGTAACGTCGTTACGCACCTTAAGATATGAAGTCTCTACCAACCTTAGAAAGATAATTTGGTAAACAATGCAAACATAGAACTCTAATAAATATTTAATCGTATACAAACTTGTTACTATTGATGAATATTCATTGATGTATTTATGATAAAACGTTTTCCGAGAAATCTTCCAACTTTAGAACATAACTTGGATATAGTCCGCAGATGTTTACGGTGCCACCTGAGCCCACCTGCCTTTGCCCTTTTCGAAATAACCGTCGTATATTATTCAAGGGTCCGAATTGGATTATTGTCTTCTCATTCTTAGAAAAACATACTAAAATTGCAAAAGCTTGCTCGATATTACTTTATATCTATTAGTAAAAATAAAATCAAAATAACATAGTAAAAAAACTACGAAAAGCATTATGGAGGGATTGAGGTGGTAGTTGTGCCGGTCTAAATAGAAATCTCTTTCTACCTACCCCTCTGGCGCGAATCGCATAATTGGTAAATAATTTGTGATAAGTAATGTTGTAAATCTGTTATATTAAGTTAAATTTTATTTTTAAAGCTAAATAATTTTATTTTACAACCCAATCAATTTAAAGTAACTTATGTATACAACCATACTTCTTTAATAAATCTAAAAACGGAAAGATTTATTAAAATGTGACCCTTGAGGATTGTCTTACAACTTAAGTAATACTTGGAAACAGTTTTAAGCACACGCGCTTATTGCTCGAGTAAAAGACTCCAACGCGAGCTAACTTTAATGACTTAAATAAAAATGTTATGCATTTTTTTAAAAGAATCCGAGAAACAAAATGTGTGTTAAATGATCGAAGATATTTTAGTAAAATCAAATATTCTAATAATTACTATTACCGATAAAGACTTAAATACATTTCTTTCGACATTTCATTAACTTTTACGAAAATTCATAGAATTATCAAAAACTAATAATCATCAAATCATAACACAAAACAGTTTGAAGATCTGAAATAAATTACCTAGAGAAAGCATTTAGAAAGCAACTAGTTACATTTATATGAAACATACTGTATCTTATCGAGACTTTTAAAACTATTAAAAGTAAATTAAATAAATAAAACTCACATTACAGATGTATCAAACACTATTGGTCCAAAATACCCAGGTGAGTGTAAAATTGACAGAATGCTGTTTAAATTCCGAACACATTCAACACATCCGGACTGTCGTAAGAAAATACGTTAAAACACAAACACAACACAATACACACTGTATAATTCTATATTAACCACTAGATCAAACCACAATAAGTATCCATCACTTGTAAAGTTTGAAGAAAACAAAAAAATAAAGTTGTTGATATTAGAAACGAGTCGCGGAATTCGTTGGAACTTGTTAGAGACAAACGAACATGCTTCCCCGTCGACGTGCAGCGGGCGACTGGCGGGCGTGCGCGGGGGCGGAGGAGCGGCAGCCGGACCGGCTACCGGTTCAGCGGAAGATCCTAAGTCAATTTTTAAACATTTCGCTTTGTGAATATTTTATTAAAACGTCAGTCCTACATCATAAATATAATTTTAATTATTTATTTCTAACAAAAAAATCAAATATTACATTTAAAAATACCGGCCAGATTTGAAACAGCGCGCATTTAGCGTTCTTTAATTCTATTAACAGGATTTTTTGCAACAGAAACGTTTGTATGCAAATTCTCGTGTGTACTACGCGTTCGTGCTTACTACGTATAATATTGCTGACACAGCATTCTTAGTTAAATCTCATTATGCTAGTCATATTGGATTACTTCTGTTATTTCTCTATCTAGCAGTTGACAAAGTGGAAAAAAAATACTGGATAAACATAGGGGAAATCTTAAATATAATGTACTAGCTTCCATTATTTCCCTTGTAATTAAAAATAATATTAAAAACATAGCCTATGTTACTTTCTAATAATTTAGATTTTTTGTGATTAAAAAAAATACAAATCTTTCCTCTCTGTAATGTTAGTATAGGTGAGGAAACATTCGTTTTAATCATAATTTTTTGAATATCGCTAACTTGTTTACTTACTGCGTTGGCGCAGCAACCCGAAGTGGGTCTTGGCCTCCGATACGAGAGAGCGCCAGCGTCATCTGTCTTGCGTCGCCTGCCGACCGATTGACTCTAGCGTAGGTCCAGCTCTACGGCGTCTCGCCAGCGGTACCTGGCTAACTTTGTTTAGTCCTATAAATTCAATCGATGACATAAAGTTTGCGACTTAATTACTCGTAATATGTTACTTATATTAATATCGATTATTCTAATATTTTGCTATAAAATCAAAGTTCCACTTGACTGATTCGATCCGATCATAATTATGCACCCCATACACATTTCAAATTTAGTAATGCATTTTGCTATAACAAACCCTCCCCCAATTACCAAAAAAAAGGTTATTGAACTGTAGGGTGAATGCATGTACTTTAGGGTTTTTTTTTTATTTTTTTCAAATTATATATTTATGTATAAACGAAATGATTGCCAAAGTTTATTTTTCCGACCAATTTTTTTAAACTAGCATTAGTCCAATCTTTTTCGATAATGCTTAGTTTGTACAATTTAAACATTTACCGTATTACAGCCTAAAAGGGTTGGGTACAACTAAGCTAAAATATATCTTGAAACTAAGTTTCTACGGCCCTCAGAGCATAACAAATCTGAGCTAAGTGCACTGTATATTCTTGTCTCTATTTTAACGAAGGTAATGAAAAGGATGAAACATATTTTAAACAAGTGTGTCATCAGTGAAAACCTGCGCTTAGATTCCTTCCCTAGTTACTGGTTTTAATAGCCGGAAACGGACGTGTTATCACGGTCCTCCGATTTTGTCGCGTGTCCGTAAAATACGTTAATACCCGGCTCAAGGGAAGGGGAAGGGACATTGCGAGCTAAACTTCATGTTAAGTCGCTGCTAATCTTGAAACCGACAATAAGTTAACGCTTTATTACTTCATTTCTACTTTTAATACTTAAAAATAATGTTTAAACTACGGTAAAGTAAATTTTTTGTACCAATTTTGTTAGGTACCTTACAATTCTAAAATAACTGATAAATTATCACTTTTAATGAATTTACATTATTGCACATATTTTTCTATTTAATTTAAGTAGGTACAAGATACCATAATTTAAGATTTAAATTTAAATTAACTCTACTTTTTCTAATAACTTTAAAAACAGAAAACAACATCTTAACCAATATTTCAACTATTATTGAAATTCTGAAACACTCAACTATACGAAGTGATGTGAAAAGGAATTGGTTTTAGTCGCAAAATTAATGGTAGCAATTAATGGGACCGGCGCCCGACGGCTAATTCGGGCTTTCACCAATCCTGTTTGTCCGCGACGCCTCGTAGTACACCTAGTAACCAGTGGCCTATATTAAAACCTCTTTGTTTATTTTCAAACACTTTGAATGCCTCACAACATAAATAATCATCCTGGAACTTTTTCCTACAGTAAAATTATATTTATAAAATTAATCTTACTAATCTTAGATGCGAAAGTCTAAATGGATGGATCTTTTTCAGAGTTTGTAGCCTATACTGCTAAACAGAACTCGATGATATTTGGCATAGAAGTAGAGAAAATAGTCAGGAAGAACTCATAGGCTAACTTTTGTTTAATTACACGCGGACGGAATCGCAGGCGAAAGCTAGTTTTGTATAAAAAAAGATGAGAATCGTGTTAATTTTCTTAATTTTCACAATGAAGAAACATAACTTTTAATTGCAGACGGTAATTATAAAGCGAAACGAAAAGAGAATGGTTGATTCGAAACTCACTAATGAGCTGAAAATTTTTATTATTTTCAAAAAAGCGCCAATAAAAGCGCGATAATGAGATCCTATTAAATCTTCTCGGTTGACTTAGAAGTGATGTAAAGTAGAACGAGACAATCGACAATACAAATTCACTTTATGCCTAGCACTAGCTGTTTCAGTGCGGTTTCATCCGCATGAAATTATAAAAACTTTATTTTATTGTTTACATTTCTCAAATTCTAAATTGCAAATGTCAAAATTACCGTTACCATAATAACCTTGCTTCCTTAATGTTGGCAGCTTGTATTTTATGGTCCCTTTCCCACATGATGTTTTTTTCCGATTAATTTACCCCGAAAGTTTAATAGCGTAAAAATATATAGCCTAAAGCGTGTCGTAAGGTATTTTTATTTAAGAAAGAATTATTCAGAAATATGCAGTGATTGCTGACATCTTATGCCACCAAGTAGTGTGTGTTTACGCTTTATTATATTGGTACAGATTACTGTTTCGTCTTTATTTTTTCATTTAGTGTCGACATTTGTAATATTTTTAGCGATAAAATTATGTTTTATCCCATTTATCGCTGCAGAATATCGATAGTTTTTTAACCTTAACGATAATCTTGCTGAAAAATCTACGTGACTCCTTGAGTTAGAACACGTCGTGTTGGAAGTCGAGAGGCCACTCGAAGCGCGACACGTATCAAATCCTTGCGCAGTCCTTGAAGACTCCGTCCTTGTTATGCTAGCCTGGTACTTCACTTTGGAAAGAGTATCCTTATAGTACACAAAGTTGCAAAAAAACGTGTGTTTTTTTGCTAATCTTTGCCAGGATTTTTTTAAGCGTACGTGTTTTGTGCTTCGGTTATTTTGTTCTTAATTGAATTAAGTATATACATAGGTACATATGTACACTACGTCCAAGGAAATGTTACACCAGAGATATAATAATTGTATTAAGTACAAACTAAGCACGTACGTATAAATGTGCGTATTCTCATTGTTTTTTCAGTTACTACATAGACTTATATTACGAAAGCTTACCTGATATAAGGAAAGACATTTATTACACAGAAACATATAAGGAAAAAGGAATTATAAGACAAATCGGCTGACAATAATTTTCTGCTAATATTTTGTGAGAAAAAATATCACATAGATCTAATAGTGTATTCATTACTCTTATAGGTAGTGGTTTTTATATTTCAACACTAGCTTCTCCCTCGACTCCTACTACGTGAAATTAAAAATTAAGTAAGAAGTCTATGTGCTCTTCCAGATTATCTTCTATATCTGTGCCAAATTTCATCGAGATCCGTTCAGCCGACACAAACATCCATCTAAACTTTCACATTTTATAATATTAGTAAGTTTAGTCTAGAAAGCCTTGCCACCCTTTCCCCCATGTTAGTATTGTTTTATAATTGATTCCTTTACACTGGAGTGGCGATTACATTCGACGAGGCGTGCGGCTGCCGAGCCAAACGACGGCTTTAATATTTTCACTCCAGTACGCTTGATATATAGGATACCTCGTGAATGCGACGCGTGTTAAGGCACTTCATTTGTTTTCATGCGTATTTGATCTTTTTGTACATTGCTTTTATACGAGACGATGTCTGGAGATCACATAAATCGAATCTTTCGTTTGATCGGGATATAAAAGATTAAAGGAAAGGAATCAATCAATTCGTGTAACATCATGTAATTTTCCCTACATTCTGATGTCATCATTGCAGCCATATTTGTTGTGGGTATAAAATTATATTTTCTATCGCAACAGGGAACATACAAAGGATAAATACTGAATTCCAATTTATCGATCAAGTTACATTGTATTAATGTACTGCTAACGCTAACAAGGAACAAGGAAAAAATCCTAAAATTGTACGCTGAATTTTTTTCGAATTACTCCTAACACTAATTGACGCTGACAGAAGTAATACTGGCACGTTTGAGGGATCAAGTATTAGAAACCTTATCTAAATGACTCCTTAAATAACTTTTAACACATTTCGAGTGTGATAGTTCTCACAAACACACGGTGAGCGGTTCGATAAAATGTAGAGCAATGAATGAAGTAAACAAAAAGAACCATGGTATCGACCGTTGTGTGTCGTCGCCGTGTCGTCGCCGGGTCGCCGTCCTATGATTGCAGGCTTCTACCGTCCACCAGTCATAGGGAATTTTAAATGCGCCTAGTCTATCCTGACTGCAACCGATGTTACATTAATCGATACTTGCCTTCGTTAAAATCTCTTTGAAGGAATAACTTCTGACTGTGGTTCAAATATAAGATTCTTGATGAAATAAAAAAAAAATCTTTTTAAAGCCAACTTATAAGCGAACATTTTTGACTGAACTATCGCACAACTGTTTAGTCACGTTTTAATTCGTATGAGCTTCTATTGAGGTGCACACATTACTCGATTTTTAATTGTACAACTAAACAGTTAAGTTGGCTACAAAACAATCGAAAATCGCACAACTGTTGTACGGTAGTTAAGTCAATGGTGTGCGCCCGCTCTAATAACATTACAATTACGTTTTCATAAACGTGACTAAATAAAACAATAACAACGTAGAGACGAAATACATAACCCGTAGTAATCGTATCCAATC